ATCCCATCTAGTGGATAAGGCTTGCTATTGCCGCAGCTGTCTCTGGTTGTATGTGTTTGAAGGGCAGAATTATATTGATTACATACACTGTGAAGAAAAATGGTCGTAAAATTGAAATTATGATTGCATTAATCGTAAGGCCATTTCCTTGGGCTCTATTTCAGTAAACCATTTAACCTGTATGCTTCAATATTTTATCCAGATTGCATAGTTTATTTGCCATTTTTGACTTTACTGTCCATGTTACATAAGTTATATCTTTAAATACATGAAATGACTTTGATTTATTACCTGTAAAATACGACTCGCAGTTAAGATTTGCAAGTTTAGATTTGGAGCTCCATACAAAATATGTTCCCGGGGGATCTGAATCTATCTATGATGTTGACCGGAGAGTTTCTGAGCGAACTCAAGTGCTTCCTCCATTCCCAGAAGATAGGTTCCTATGCAGTTTTAGCCATATATTTGCAGGTTTGCTCTGCTTCTTGTATACTTTTGAAACCATGCTTTGTTACTTGGTTTCTACTTTCTGTCCCTGGGAGACCTAACATCATGTGTATGTTTTGGGTTCTGTTATGTTTAGGTGGCTATGCAGCTGGATACTACAGTTACAAGGTGTTCTGAATTGTTTTAATGTTGAAGCATGTTTCTGAGGTTGAGGCACTTTGAAAATGTGATCCACTTTTGATTATATCTTATGATGAATTTGTCTGCTATACAGTGGGCTGAGGTGCTGTCTGCAGATGCTTTCTCTGCATTTGAGGATGCTGGATTGGATGACCAGAAGGTATCGTTGAAAGCACTGTCAATAAGGATTGAGTTTTGCCTCATAAGATTGTCTGTGTTTAGTCTTCTAAATCTCCCATTCTGTGAGTCTAGTAATAAAACAAGCTAGTTTTTATCAACTAGAAGATAATTAGAATGGCCTATGAATATTTATTGTCTGTTCGTTTTTCCCCTGATAAGAAAGTGTTAAAGCAAAAAACATACATGTAATTTACTATTTTTATTTCTTTGATATTATGTCCCATTTAAGACATAACAAGTGTATGTTTCTCTAATAATACTATGACAAGTTTGTGGTTGTTGCAGCAAGCTGTATGTTTTTCCATTAAACGATGTCATAGCATTATTGAAGGACGTATGATGGACTAATGGATTAAGGATAATTTAGATTATTTGATTATGCTCTTAAGATGTTTAGGCATCTGTTTTATTAAGAGTATGATATTTTGTTTTAATAAGGATATTTATATTATCTTGTTGATTTTTTTTCGGAATATGGGTTAATTAGGAAGTGTTAAGGTTTACATTTATCTTATTATTTTCTTATCATTTAGGACATGTTTGGATTTTATTATTTCAAAAAATTGACTTGGGGCTGTATAATAGCCCTAGGGTTTTCATAATCATTAGACCTTTTGGTGATTTAATCAATATTGAATACTTGAGTTCTCTTTCTCCACCTCAATTTCTGCTTATGTTTGCAATATTTTAATTGGACGACATTATAGCAAAGTAAATACGGAACTGCACTTAGTCTAATCTTTTGTTTAACTGATGGCATACTATCAGAAACTTGGTCTCATCTTTCTTGTCATGACACGTGCAAACAATTTGTGATTTTAGATGTTGGCCATTGTTAAACTTTGAAACTTGCCGTGGTGTTCCGCTGTTTCCCCTTGTACTTGTTTACCTTTGAGCTGTGACCATCATTATGCATTTTGATAGGCCGTGAAAGAAACAGGGAAGAGGTTCCGAGAGACCATTCTTGCTCTTGGTGGTGGCAAGGCACCACTGGAGGTACATCCGAACTGCGCTTCCTTTTGTTAGTAGAAAGATTTCCTAAGAATCATCACAACCAATGTGGCTATCCTTTTGTTGATTAACCATCTCGATGTTTTTATCTAATGTCTGGAGCATGTGCATACAGGTCTTTGTACAATTCCGGGGCAGAGAGCCAACACCAGATGCGTTGCTCAGGCACAATGGCCTTTTACCCGTTGCAGCTTGATATAGTTGATCTTCAGTATGTTTGGTTAGGTAGAGACGGGGGGTTGAGCTTGAATGTTTTGTTATTTCGTGGCCTAACCTCTTTTTACATATACGAGGTTTCGAAAATACAGATCTTCGTGTCGTCCAAACTTTGGATCCTGTCCCATTGTAGTTTTATTATGCAAGAAGTTATTATTGATTGAATAATTTGTATCACGGGATCACAGCTTCTTGGAGATTCAACTAAGAAGTGAATGCAAGTAAAATTTCTCTTGACTCCGTAGTATTGGTTGCTTCGACTCATCTGAGAACTGAGATATCCGCTTTTTCTGTTATATATTTAGCAGCTTAGTTATGAAGATATATTTCAGTCATGGTAAATTCATTCTTAACTTGCATTTCGCAAAATTCTCCCTTCAATTAAATTAAAATCTTATTGAATTTAAATCAATTTATTTATTTCTCTATTAGATAACTAAATAAATGGAGACTTTATAAATGATAAATTTAAGTTGATGGTGATACTGTTGTTGAATGTATTAATCTGAAAACGTGATAATGGGCAAGGGCATTGTAGTTCTGTTTTTTTTTTTTGGTTAAAATTTTTTGGGACCAGGCTGGCAGTGTAGCTCTGGTTATGGTGGGTGGCTTGTTTAGTATAAAAAAACACACACACACACACACACGCAAAAGATATGGATTAAACGAAATTATGAGAAACTATTGTTCAAGAAGGGTAGAGGCACAAGTAACTAGAGTCCTTTTGCGAAGTTTAATGGGATTTGGATATCATGGGCTTTAAAACAGAAGAATTTTTCTGCCAATGTAACTCAAAAAATTTGGTAAATTTCAGGCATAAAAAGGTTTTATTTTGAGAAATTTTATATTGCTGTTAGTGCTATAAAAATACTGAGGTCATATTCTACTAAAATATTTTTTTTCAACCAGGACTCAAAAAACATCGAGTTTATATTAATGATATTTTTAATTTAAATGTAGGTACTAATATCATACTTTAAGATTATACTTATATCAAATTATTTATATCAATTATCTCTCTCAAATTTTATTTAACTATGCGTCCTATTTTTGAAATAAGACACCAGGTTCTGGTTCAATTGGGCTTCACAGTGGTGGTTGGGATAGGGTGAACAATGGCATCATCTGACTCTGCAATCTGTGTTGTTTGCTAATGGTAGATCTGTAAATAACATGCCTTACATAGGAGGCATCACAAACGCCGTCAACGTCAGAATAACAGTTCAAGCTGATTGGGAGAATCGTGAATTCATGATAGGATCATTATGTGTATAAGGGCTGTTTGGTCTTTTAGCGTGGTAGTTATTTACCCTTTTCATCTTTTATTCAGTTTGTAATGCAAGGGGCTATATAGTTACTATACCATATGTGAACAGTATGTTATGAATGAACTAGAACTTCCTTTCTCTCTCTGTCTTCTCCTTCTTCGGCTCTCCTACCTTCTCCTTCTTAACCTCCTTTTTTGTTTGAGACTTATCATTGGCATCAGAGCAGTGAACGATCTGGGTAATGGCAGACAACACAAGGCTTAGATGCAATTGAAGGAACTAGAGGATCAGATCAAGACAGAAATTGACACCTGATTCGCTGGTATGGAAACACAACTAGAAGGTGTACATGAATTGAAAAACCAAGTAACAGGATTGCAGGACCTGTTGAGATAGATGTCTCTCCAACTCATTGAAGTGCAAATGCATAGTGGAAGGGATCGTGGAGATCAACATGATGCTGAGTACCATGTTCCAAATAGGTACACCAAACTTGATTTTCCAACTTTTTCAGCAATTGATGTGGATGCTTGGTTGGCAAAATATGAGTGCTATTTTCTCCTAGATGGAACTCCAGATACTCGAAAAACTATGTTTGCTAGTATTGCTTTGGATAGTGATGCTTATTAGTGGTATTGGCACTTTGAGAGAAGCCGTTATGGAGTGGTACCATGGGCTACTTTTGTAGAAGCCATTAAGATTTGGTTTGGACCCTTGTATGATGATCCCATTGAGGATTTAACAGATTGGAACATTGGCTGAGTTTCAACGTGAGTTTGATGATTTGATGTGCAAACTTGACTTACCAGATGGGAGAAGAATGAGTTGCTTCATTGGTGGACTTAAACCTGAATTGGCATCTGGTGTTAAACTCTTACAGCCACAAAACTTGTTGGAGGCTATGAAGCTTGCCCATTTACAAGAGTCAAATTTGAATTCTTTGCAACAGATGACCGTGGGTCCTTCGAGTGGTAAGTCTTCTTATGCTTTTAAGGGACTATTACCGAGCCTCGTGAAGAGTGTGTCTTATTCTGTGAGAGATAAGTCGGGCTGGACTGATAATAAGAAAGTGGGTACCACGTCTGTGAGTAATGCATTAGTACCGGCTAATACTAAAGGAGTGCTTGGGCGTCCTTATTTTGCTTTTAAGCAAAGGTTAACGACAGAGGAATTAGAGGAATGTAGAACCAAAAATTTGTGTTATTATTGTAGAGAGATATATTCTCTAGGACATACTTGTGATGCTAAGAAGAAAACATAGATATGTTTGATGGAAGTTGTTGACGCTTCTCTTAGCATGTTGTGATCGATGACTCTGTAGTATAGGGTTGTATTCCTAATGATCTTAAAAGTGTAGAATAACCAATTATCTCTATGAATGCTATGTGTGGTGGATCAGATGGTGACACCATTCGCGTTTTGGGTTTTATTGAAAAGAAATCTGTCTACATTTTGATAGACACAGGGAGCACCCATAATTTCGTGAATTCATCATTGGGTCGAGATTGTCATTTAGAGGTGCATGAGGTGAATCCTCTTCGTGTGTCTATAGCGGGGGGGGGGGGAGTCAACTTTGGGCAACAGAAAAGTGTAGTAGTGTTAAATGGGTCTTTGGTGGTACAGAATTTCAAAATGAAGTTATATTATTGCCATTAGCCGGTTGTGACATGGTACTTGGTATGAAATGGCTTAAAGAACTGGGAACTATTCAGTTGAATTGTAAGAATTTGACTATAGAATTTGAATGGAACGGTGCAAATGTGAAGCTAGTAGGAACTTGTGCTAACAAGAGTCGAGTTATTTCAGAGACTAAAATGATGAAGTTGTTACATGCTCAACTTGAATCGTTAGCTTTACAAATTGTTCCTCTAGATTGTTGCATTATTAATGTGATCGACGCAGTAATTCCGATTGAGATTGAACAGTTGCTAGTTGATTATGGGGATTTGTTTGAAGAATCAAAGTCTTTGTCGCTGTCAAGGGGCAATCATGATCACTGAATCATCCTTAAGGAAGGCACAGACCCCATTAAATTATGGCCATACTGTTACCCAGCTCTACAAAAGGACGCTATTGAGTCCATGGTCAAATTGTTCAACAAAATACTTCTCCATTCACTTCTCCTGTGGTTTTGGTTAAAAAGAAGGATGGAAGTTGGCGAATGCGTGTTGATTATAGAGCCTTGAACAAAGCTACTGTACGGGATAGTTTTCCAATTCCTTTGATTGAGGATTTATTTGATGAATTGGTTTATACTTGGGTATTTTCTAAGCTCGACCTCCGCTCGGGATATCATTAAATTCATATGTATAAAGAGGACATCCCCAAAACAACATTTCAAACTCATATTGGCTATTATGAATATCTTGTTATGCCCTTCGGTTTGACAAATGCTCCATCAACTTTTTAGGCCATCATGAATAATATTTTTGAGGGGTTGTTGAGGAAATATGTATTGGTCTTTTTTGATGACATTTTAGTTTACAATCGAAATATGTCCTCCCATGTTTCTCATCCACAATTAGTGGTTGATATTCTTCAAAAGAACCAGTTCTTTATCAAAGGATCTAAATGTGCTTTTGCTACGAATAGCATTGAGTATCTCGGTCATGTGATTTCTGAGGGGAAGGTTGCGGCTAATGTTTCTAAGTTGGAAGTCGTGAATGCTTGGCTAATTCCCAAAACGGTGAAGGAACTTCGATCATTTTTGGGATTGTCTAGGCATTATTGACATTTCATATGCTCTTATGGAGTAATTACCCATCCCTTAACAGAACTCCTTAAGAAAGATGGTTTTGTGTGGAACTCAGAAGCTGAATCTGCATTTATCACTTTAAAACATGCATTCGTTAATGCACCCGTGTTGGCACTTCCAGATATTGCCAAACCATTCACGTTGGAGACCGATGCATCCAATATTGGCATTGGTGCTGTGCTTACTTAAGAAAGGCATCTAATTGCTTATGTTATCAAGGTACTATCCCCTCGGAACTGTCTCTTATCAGTATATGACAAAGAGTTGCTTGCTATCATTCATGTTGTGTCCAGGTGGCATCAATATTTGTGTATTCAACCTTTTAATTTTGATCAATTAAAGAAGCTTGAAGTTTTTGCTTGAACAGCGTCTTTCAACTCCTTCTTAGTACACATGGATTACTAAGTTAATGGGCTTGCAATATGTGATTAAGTATTGTAAAGGAACTGAAAATGGGGTGACTGATGTTCTATCACAAGCAACACATGGTGAATTGTTACATTTGCCAGTTTCTTTTGTTTCAACAGAATTGTGGTAGCAGATTAAGGACCAATGGGAATCTGATCCATATCTCAATACACTTATTTCTGAGTTAAAGGCCAATCCTCAAGCCCACCCAAAGTATTAATGGTGTGATGGCCTTTTACTAAGAAAGCACCGACTTGTAATTGGTTTAGAACAAAAAGGGTTACAATGATGTATTATTTAGTGGCTGCACTCGAGCTCTCATGGAGGTCATTCTGGAATTAAAGCAACTCGTCAACGAATTAAAGCATTATTTTATTGGAAGGGTATGCTCTATGATATTCAATCTTTTATTTGTTCTTGTGAAACTTGTCTTCGGTGCAAGTATGAGATTGTTGCATATCTAGGTCTACTTCATCCTTTACCTGTTCCAGAAGGAGTTTGGCAAAGTGTTGCCATGGATTTTATTGAAAAGCTGACAAAATCTAATGGAAAGGATACAATTTGGGTGGTTATAGATCGTTTGAGTAAATATGCCCATTTTATAGCTTTATCTCACCCTTTTATAGCATCAGATTTGGCTCAACTTTTTATTGACAATATTTACAAATTACATGGTGCTCTTGCCAATATTGTTAGCGATAGACATCTCTTATTCACAAGTTAGTTCTGGCGTGAATTCTTGATTTGACTGGGAGTTGAGCAGAGTTTATCTACGGTCTATGACCCTCAGAGTGATGGTCAAAGTAAAGTTCTTAATCGATACTTGGAACATTATCTTCAAAGCTTTTCTTGGCAGCAACTGAAAGATTGGGCTAAGTGGCTTCCTCTTGCAGAATGGTGGTATAACACCTCCTTTCCTATGTCAGCTAAGATCACTCCTTTTGAAATCATGTATGGTCAACCACCACCTCTTCACTTACCTTATCTTCCTCACGAATCTGTTATGGAATCTATTGATCGTTTTATTTATAGCTTGTGAATCATTGTTAAGTTGGTTGAAGCACAACTTGGTTACTATTGTTAATAGAATGAATAGTTTGCTAACAAACATAGAACAGAACGAGAGTTTCAGGTTGGAGATTGGGTGTTTCTGAAATTACAACCATATAGGCAATTATCTCTAGCACACCGAATTTCAGAGAAGCTAGCTCCTCGTTATTATGGCCCTTTTTTTGTGTGGATGCTAAAGTTAGTGATGTTGCTTACACGTTGGAATTGCCTCTGGCTTCAAAGGTCTACCTCACTTTTCATGTTTCACTGTTGAAGCCTTGCTCGGACCCATCCATCCCAGAGATTCCTTTACCTGATGATGATGTCATAGTCGCTAAACCTAAGGAGCCTTTCGCCATTCTAGATTGCCATGTGATTCCTAAGAATAATTGGGCTGTAACTCAGGTTCTGGTATATTGGAAAAATGCTCTCCTTGAAGAAGCTACTTGGGAGTATTGGACTGATCTCTCTCGCCGCTTTCCTGAGTTCGCTGGTCTTTCCCATCCTTATGGACAAGGATGATTTTAAGGGGGGCAATGATACGATCATTATGTATATAAGGGTTGTTTGGTCTTTTAGCGTGGTAGTTATTTACCCTTTCCATTTTTCATTTAGTTTGTAATGCAGGGGGCTATATAGTTATTGTACCACACGTCAACAGTATGTTATGAATGAACTAGAACTTCCCTTCTCTCTCTGTCTTCTCCTTCTTCGATTCTCCTACCTTCTTTTCCTTCTCATCCTCCTTTTCTATTTGAAACTTATTATTTATCTCTCACATTTCTCTCAATGTTCGTCACCTTTTTGAATTCCTTGTCCAATTTGGTACTCAAATTCTCTTCCTTTCTCTATTCTTTGGTTTTACATTCCTGTTCCTTCACTCTAAAGGATTTAATATTTTGAGTGTGTAATAATTGGTTTGATATGCTAATCTCCTCACAGTATAGATGTGTGCGTGGTGTTTAACTTGTATTCTTTCTGCCATCCATTAATTCCCTCCACCTCGTGCTTTCTCTCTTATTCATTTTAAAATCTTCAATTTTTTTCTTTCTAAGGTGTATCCATTAAGGCTTTTCCAGTTCCCTTTCCCTACTTCCCTTCCCCTCTTTTTTCTCTTCTTCAATATCTCCTAGGAATCATCCCGCTTTCTCCTTCCTTACAAACCATCTATGTGAGCTTGAGTTCATCATCACTGATACCCGCAACTTTTGGGTGGGAGTAGTGATGGATAATGGTGTTGTAGGTGCGAGTGAATTGTGGTGCGATGGTAGAGAAGCATAGATCATGAATCCCAAGGAACCGAAGCTGATGAAAGAGTTGGAGAAACATATGGCAAGAATAACAGTAGAGGATAATGTTGGAAGTCACAGAGATCATGAAGATAATGTTGCAATTGCATATTCAAAATACCCCACAACATCTATTGATGCCCTTCTTTATCAACTTATTTTCATAATTCACATGCGCTCTCCAATTCGATCATCTCAAGGTCTTGATAAAATGAAAGATGTAAAACCCTTAACCTTAAAAACATCATAAATCATCATAAAGTCCACTACTATGGTAGAAAAGGAAAGTTGTTAAAACAAGTTACCATAGTAGAAGGAAAATTTCATATTTTTAGAAATTGACTTTCAAACTCGGGTCAACCCGATAGACGTTGCATGCAACTAAAATAATCCATTCATATCTACTGGGCCTTCGAGCCTCCGGCCCGGGTAACACATACATCAAAGTCAGCCCATCTAAAAAGTTTTCAACTATATAATCCAGAGTTCATCAAACACTAGCAATGGCCTCCGGCCAATCAAAATAAGGAGATACATTCTCTCCAGTTTACAACAAGGCCGGGTAATCAAATATATCAAAAAGCAGTCCTAAATGTGGCAATATATACTAGTCATACATATACAAATGCTAGAGGCCTAAAGCTAACCAAGCTCAAGCCTCTGCGTCTCTTCCCGAAGGCGCACGCCTAGAACCTTCTCCTGAAAACATTGTAAACCACGGGGTGAGACAAAGTCCCAGTAACCAACCTTTCCAATACTAGGTACTACTAAATAGGTGCTCGTGAGGTGTCAAGTGGGGCAGTTCACAAATAATATAAAACGATAGCCACGACAATTCATGCAAGTGCAATGATGCAATCCCATCAACCAAATCCCTCACTTTGGGGGATTTTCAGGAGCTGAAACCGGCCTATCTCTCACTATGGGGGACGTAAGGAGCCATAAAAGGCCCATCCCTCACTCTGGGGGACGTAGGGAGCCAAAAGGCCTATCCCTCACTATGGGGGACGTACTAAGCCAACCATCATGCATTAATGGAGGCTTTACCACGTGGTAGTAACTATCAAACTCTCACCAAATCCCAAATCATGCATCATGCTCAAATCATAATCAAAGAGTAATAATCATTTCACAATTAACCTCATTCAGTGGCATATCTTTCACAACTTCAAGATTTCATTCATCATCAATCAAAACCCCACAAGACGGTTTTCCTTTTTATACACAACATATAGTTTGAACACAATTACTACTTGGAGCACAAAACACAAATCTACTCACAATACCACAGAAGCAAGTACTAAGGATTGGAAAGTGGTTACCTCTCGCCTGAGCAAGGAACAACAAACCAACGATGTGGCCCCGTGCACCACCAAGACTCACAACCGGTCTACACAAGCACACAAACACACAACCATCATATATTAGCTTTCAAACTAATAATGTGGCCAAAACAACACTTGGGGACACAAAATTCCTATCTCCCACCGAACTCTACCCAACTCAAAGGGTATAACTATCAAGGCAACACTCCAAAGTCATACCAATCCATAAAAACCTTAATTCCTTTCCAAACATCAATTAAGATTCACAACCTCAAGGACCCACTATGGAATTCTACACCCAAACATCCCATTTGAGCAATTAAGGTTCCAACAACAAATCTAAACCGATTAAACATCCATTTTAACCCTCCTTAACATAACCCAATTCACAAAACTCAGAATCAACCTCTACATTGTCATCCTCAATCCCAAATCATCCAATTCCATAAACCCTAGCTCCAAAAATTCAAGATTCTTTAAATCCAAGAAAACTATACCGATTAAATACTTAAACTAACCCAATGCAATCAATTAAACTCAAAACAATCGGTCAAAAACCTCAGTTTCATCACAACTTAGAAAATCCTAGGGTTCCACCAAAAATCCTCATAAATTCCAATCAAGAAGATAGATTAGAGGTTAAAATCACTTACTTGAGGTAATGGATCCTTAGAAATGTCTCCTCCAAGCCAAAAGTTTGAAACCCTAGCAGAGCTCCTCTCTCCTCCTTCAGATTTTTCTTATTTTCGCACGCTGAACCCTCCCGCGACTATATAGATTCGCGACCTTTCGCCGCGGTGAACTAATCCCGAGAGGGATTACTCGCCTGAAAACCCGACTTCACCGCGGCGAACCCCAATCTTTGCTGCGGCGAAAGCTTCCCGAGAGGAAACTCTCGCTCGCCCAGAGAACATTCGCCGCGGCATACCCCTACCTTCGCCGCGGCGAAACCTTCCCGAAAGGGAAGCCTTGCTCACCTGAACAACTTCGCCGCGGTGTCCCCTAGACTTCGCCGCGGCCAAACCTTCCCGAGAAGACACTCCCCTCTGAAACTCCCGGTGCGCAACTTCGCCGCGGCGAACATACCCTGAGAGGGGTACGTTCACCTATTCCTCCAACAAACCTCAAATTCAACCCAAACACCCAGATCAAGATTAAATCACTAATCTATCCTCAAAATCAACCCAAAAGAGGCTATTAAAACCCGATAAAAACTTAGGATGTTACAAAAGATGCAGATATCTACAAGAAAATTCAGTAGATGGTGAGGTTTATCTAGTAGGAAGTTGAGGTGAAAGCCAACGAGATTGCTATCTCTATTGAAGAAGTACTACTTTGTTCTCTTTGCTTTCTTCTTTTAATGATTTCCATATTTTATTTACTCCTTTGAACTACTGAGTGTTGATTTAATTGTACTTTAGTCAGTGGCATATACTTAGTGACAAGATTATGTTTTTTGGCTTTGTAAGTTGACCGCAGATAGGTTCCATCCCCATTGCTAAACCAGAGATGACAAAGTAACAAGCAATGTTGGCGAAGCCGATAGAAAGGGAGTCTCTTGTGAGTTCCATTTGGTTGAGATAGCCAAGAAAAAGCATAGAGAGCATAGCTCTTGAAGGATAACTAGACCGGAACGATATAGGTTAGCCTTATTATATATCCATTCCATATTTGTGTACAACATTCTTGACTATATAATTTTCATAATGGAAGTATTGGATGCTAGTGAATGGACCTGATACAGATGGTCATGTTCTTTATGGTCACGATTTAGTCTCCCTCCTTGTCTATCAACAGCTCTTATGGCTCATGGTCATGGAAGATTTTAACAACCATTTTTTAATTGATAAGGAGTCTATCCAAGCTCTTACTGACCTGACCCCTGCAAATTCTCTTCAGTGGGAAAAACAATGGAGTTTCTTATCTACCAGCAGCCTGCTTAATTCCTTTTTCCTTCCTTTTTTTTTTTGGCTTTGCATTTAGATCCTAATTAGGAATGTATGAAGTGCCTTTTTTGTGATTGTATTTGAGGTACATTGAGAATATTGAAACAATTTGAAATGGTTTGTTATTTATGGCTTATGGAATATGCTTTACATGATGGATTTTATTGCTGCATTTATAAGGAATAACCATAGACATTTACATTTATCATTCTTAAAAAAATTGTGAGTGCTTTATATGATGTTTGTATTTCTTCTGTCAGTTACTATATATATATATATAACATTGCTTTTGTTAAAAACTCTTTTGATGCCATTTTAGAGGAAATTTTATAAGGAAGGTGTAAGAGATGATAACTAAAGAAGAATAGCTAAGGATACCTATTGCACAAGGCCTTCCTTGGACAGTAGATGAACCAGTGGTATAGGTCCAACAATAGTTACTTTGTAAGTTTTAGTAAAGAGCTTGATTTGATTCAAGTGTTGTTGATGAGGTTGCTTTCAATTTGTTTTGTTGCTTGGTAAAGCCTTTGGTGAAGGAAGTTGCCATCCCTATTTATGTGAAACTTCATAGTGATTTTGCAAGCCATTGATCAAGTTGTCTTTTAACACCTAATTTGTTCTCTTTCATTTATTTAAGCCTTTATCTCAGCTTTTGCCCATTGGGTCAAGAAAAACTGCATTTGTCCTTTGGTTCAAGGGAAAAAAATTATGTCTGGCAGAACATGGTTCTGTTGATGGAGTGTAAAGGTTAAAAATGAAGAGCTATAATGATTGCTTTCGTGAAAGCATGTATAAGAGATAAAATTAAGGATTTTGAATTTCCCTCCTCTTGCTGAATAACTTTTTCTTAATGGACTGCCCAATAATTTTTAAATTTTTAAGTCATTTAATGAGAGCCTTTCTATTCATGCTCTCCATTTCTCTTTTTTGTTTTTTTTAATGAATTAGAAGATCAAGATGATTTGTTAGGTTAAAGATGATTTGTTATTTCCCTTTATCAGTGAATTAAATAAAAATATAATATGCTTTTGATTCCATTTCAACTTGCATCACCTTTTTTGTTTTGTATCTTCATTTTTGTTCAAGAAGTCCCTTTTCTTTGGATCATGAAATAGCAGTATCTATTCTCAATATCAGTGGAGTACTAAATACCTTAAAGATTTATGCCACACATATTTAATCCCCAACAGACTGTATAGCTAAGTCCCTTTTTCCCATGCATACTTAATCAGTTCGCTTATTCAGTACAGATCTTTCATATTTCCCATGAAGTGATTTCAAAAACTAACTTGTTGTTTTCTAAAGTTTAGCTAGGAGTCTGCAACTAGTTCTTTGATCTACATTTGGAAGATGATTTTAATTGTTGGGTTGTTCACTTGAATAATGGCAATCGTTGAGAAGGATCATGTGATAGCTGTTTCTTCAAAGCAAGCTGTGTATTATGTTGGTAGCCCACACTTAAGAAGCCATGTTAAAACTTTTTCAAACCTTAGATATGTATCTAAAGCTGTTTATAGATCTGTGAAGCTACTTACAGATGTGGTCACTTGTTTTGTGGATGAATGGAATATTCATATCATTTTCTAAGAGTTTAATTATTTATTCTAGTCTTGATTTTTTTGAAAGTTTTTGTGATTTTTATTTAATATTTAATATTAATGGGTATGTGCTTTTTGATTATTTTAGATGATGTAATTTCTTTCATTCTTATGGCTCATATAATAAGCGAGAATGAAGAAGATAATGGCTGATAAAATTGGAAGTACAAATTCCTCAAGCACTATATTTTTTACTATTTGTTGCTCTCTGCATGTATAATCATCTTAGACACAGAAAGAGTGTTCTAATAGGAAGTTAGGAATACTGTATTTTGGCATGGAAACAAGTGAGATATATCTCATGTACCTCTTAATCTTGTGTTTGGTTTGTTCCCTTCAAGCCAATTATTGTGAATTGAAATATCATCCAGCAATATTTGGCATTAATGCAGGCCATCATTTTCCTGATTTCAAGTGTACGAGTGTACAGAGTATACTCCTACCAAAGTTGTTTGCATATGTAATAAAGCGAAGTATGATGTAGGTTTGTATTACCTATTGTGCAATTATGTAATTTCAGTATGCAACCCATTCGATGGAGTTGAAAATGGACAGCTTTCTTGAGGGAGATAGTAAAGCAAAATTTCTTTTCTGCACCTATTCCTTGGACCATGAAGTTTAGCCAACTTAACAGCTTTACTATTGACAAAACAGAGTACTTTATTTTTATAGTGGTCCAATGTGCTTTGGACATTAGGGAGATTTCTAGCGAAAATATGCATAATCAAAACACAAGTTGCAATTCAAAATAAGCAGTGCAGGGTATTTTTTGTATCTCTTTTAATCTGACTGATTAAGATAACTCCTTTTTGATGATTTTTACAGTTGAGTTGTATACTTAGTTTCCTCCAATTTGAATGTTTTAACTTGGATTGAGTAATTCTCATATCTCAATATGAGACATTATCTAGATTCTCATGATGTGGAGTTACATTCCAAGAAAATATAAATAAAAATAGATCCTCACACTAAATATAAATAAATGAAAATATTGAATGAAGGATCTCACACTAGATACTATTTGAAAAATTATGGTGCAAGGGAGTAGAATCCAATTTTCTATTCAAGAGACGGTTTAATAAGTTTGAAGGTAGTTTTACAGAGATAAAGACATACTTTAGGGCTAATTTTGTGATTTCAGCTAATATTAACAAGAAATGAGGTCACCTATCATGCATAATGTCTTTAAGTTTAATGAAAGTATTAAAATAAATTTATCCCCGTACATTGCATGGGGGTAAATGTTAGTTCGATCTATATCATTATCATCCCCTTCTAAACTTCCTCAATAACATTGTCATGTTTTATTAATGACCAGTTAAGAGAACTCTAAATGGGATGGGACAGTTCCATGGTTTAGTGACCCCCAGCTCTTGCTCCCAACAGGTTTACTAGATTTTCTTTGTTTTTCTTTTCCCGATGTATTTATTGGAGCTTCTTTATTCATTATAGTGGGCATTGGTGTGGCCATTTGGTTGTTTGGGTGCTTTTTAGGTGTTTCTCTTATACTCCTCCGGTCCTTAATATAGGATCCAATTGTTGAGTTGGTTTTGGTCCTAAATATAAGACCCATTTCTCATATTTATCAATTTTCTCTAAATTACCCCTATAAATACTCCCTCAACCATAATCAAGTAGAAAAGGGAGATGGGGTATTAAGAAAGATGATTATGGTGTTTTAAGAAAAATGTATCACTTTTCTTGTAATTAACTAATTTACCTAACTTCCTTAATCTAATCAAATTAGTTAAATGGGTCTTATGTTAAGGATAATACAACAGTGCGAACCTTTTTCTGACAAAAAAGAAAGAGAACTCTTATTAACAAGTAACAACCCGCCCCCGGGGGCAAAAAAAAAAAGAAGAGAGAGAGAGAGAAAGAAAACACCAAAATATACCATTTGCTCATTTACCTTTTTCCCGTTGCATGTACACTAGTAACGTCAGACCTCAGTTTTATTCTTTTTCATCCCCCTCCCCCCAACCCCGCCCCCCAAAAAAAAAAAAAAGTAACTGCACTCATAGTCTCTTCTTATGTGATTCATAACAAAACTTTTTCTAGGTTACTAATTTGGTTGATCAAGGTGTTAGGATTTCGGGATTGAGTTCTTAGTGACATGAAAAATATACGCTGGGTGGATTTAGTTTTTTTTTGGGTAAAAATTCAAGATATTATTAAAATAAAAAAGTGTCACAAAGTGCCAAAACGGGTAAAACAACAATCATCCTAAGTGAAATTAAAAATAAAAAACAAAACATAGAAACTACCCTAGAATCTTATTCCTTAAAGCAAGATAAAAAGAAATAAACATCCTTCCAAATTTGATTGGCTGAAGGTGGTGGTCTTGGAGATATTTTGATGAAGCTTTATTGACACAACCAATTGTCAAAAAGTTGTGCTCATTTTCCTCTAAAATTGCAAAAACATTTGGCTAATTCTTACTTCTTGGTTTGCCTAATATAAAAGTGTTCATTTGGTTCGATTTATAAGTCAGTTTTAACGTGTTTTATATAAAAAAAAATTTTTAAACTTTATTAACTCTCATTTAAAATTTAATAACTTTTTAAGTTTATCTCTATTTAATATATATTATACTTTATGTAAACAAAGTCAACATAATAATAAATAAATGACAAAATTATACATCCATATAAAAAAGTTATCTCAATGCCCTATAAATAAGATCAAAAAAACTCTTCTCTTTCTACTCTATAAATGGAACTAGAGGAGTAAGTTGAGAGTTGGATTTGGTCCAGAATATAAAATCTCAATCTACCTTGTCTCCTATATTTATAATTTTTTCAAACTAATTTATTAAACTTTCTTAATCTATGGAAGTCAATTAAGTATTATCTATAATCCTAAATATAGGAGTTAGACAATCAATTTACTTTGATTCTAAATATAATATTTTAATGTATTTTGTCTCCTAAATTTAAATTTTTTTCCCACAAAGTAATGAGATCTTTATCAAGTATTAATTACAATGCATATGTTTAAAAAACATTTTAGGAAAACCACTATAGATATTTTTTACAAATAATTAAATTAATTATTTTAACATCTACAAATTAATTAGTGTTAATATAATTTTTAGTCCTTCAAGTTTGTTTTTATTTTAGTTTTAGTCTCTTAAATTTCAAACTATAGATTTTAATCCCTCAATAGACAAAATGATTTAAGTTTTTATTGATCTATAGAGAATAATATTTTACATAAAAAGAAACTTGAAGAACCAAAACTAAGGGTTTGAAACTTGAATGAATAAAACTAAAATGAGAACTAATTTGAAGGATGAAAAATTATATTAACTCAATTAATTGTTAGTTGGCAAAAAATAAACAAACTCTTAACACGTCAAGACACAGAAGGAGTAACTCTCGCATTAAAGATAAAATGAGTATTTTATTTTAAGATGGAGAGGGTCTTTTTAAGTTAAATCAAACGTATATATCAAAATTACAACAAGATCTAACTCTATATCGTATATACAAACGTCTAATTAGCTGACAATTTTCCTCGTAGATACCTGTGACTGATTATGCTGTGAAAAATAAAAATGAAAACCATTTTGGAGGTATTTATACTTTTTTTTTCAATTTTCAATTTAATACTTACACCTTTTTTTTTTAATTAAATCATTAATTTTGCTCTATCAATATCACTAACTCTTATATGGAGACTAAAAATATTAACAGAATAAAGTGATAAAAGCTAATGTTGTTGAAAAAAAGTAAAATTAAATTACTTAATTAAGGGAAAAAAACATAGATACTGAATTAAAAATAAAAAAAAATATAGTTGCTTCTAATATGATTTTAAAATGAAAACGTAAAAAGCCGAGAGACAAACATCTGCGAGCATTTTTTCTCCCGCTTTTTGACTGAAGTTAATGAAGTTCAGGCGATTGCCATGGCCATGGATATTTGGCATGAGTCAAGGTCCATCCGAGGATTTTTCTCGCGGAACATTGGAATAACGTAAAAGGATGAGGGACAGATCCCTGCTAGGTGCCCTTCTTATAATGAACGTGCTCATGGCTACGCGCTTCCCTCTCTGTCGTTCCATCCAACCTCTCCTTAAGCGTACTACTCACTCTCGTCTTTACTCCAAAGCCCCCAAACATTTCCCCCAGTCTCATTCTTGTCCTCTTTGGTCTTCTTCCTTCTCCTTTTGCCTTGAAGCCATTCACAAGTCCACTGCACCTCTGTCCTTCTCTCGCTCCTTCACTTGCTCTTCCGTTTCTGCACCATCGATGGCTACCCCTCCATTAGAGGAGACCCCTGAAGGAAACCCACTTCTTAAGGACTTTGAGTTTCCCCCTTTTGATGTTGTCGAAGCTAAACACGTTCGACCTGGGATTCGGGTCCTCCTGAAGAAGCTGGTTTGATTTTTTCCCCTGCCCTTCTGTCATGTTGGATTCTTCTTTCGATTGTGTTTGTTAGTGTGGTTGCTTGATTGCGTTCGCGATGATCGGATCCTCCGATTTTATGCCATCGATTTTGACTGCATGCGTGAACGTGGGTTTTTAGGAAGTTGATTTGGAGGAATTGGAGCGTACGGTGGAGCCTTCGTGGCCCAAGCTGGTCGAACCATTGGAGAGGATTTTAGACCGGTTGCTCGTTGTTTGGGGAATTGTCAATCATCTCAAGGCCGTCAAGGACAATTCCGACCTCCGTTCTGCCATTGAAGATGTTCAGGTATTTTTCTGTTTTTGTTGTCATCATTTTGGTCGGCCAAACTTGTGGATTCGTAATGCCATACCTTTATATGAAAACTTGATTTGTGGTTTATCACGCAATGCTTAATGGAGGTTGATGCATTTGCTGCGCTCTTGATATCTGAGTATTTCTCATATTGCACGATGTTAATCTGTTTCCTTTTATCTATATCTACTGGCTGATCACATGAGTACTTTTGGTTTTGGTTAGCGTGTTTCTTTCGGGAACTTAATGGGCACCACTTTTATGTGCTAACAACGCTTGACTGTGGTTTGCAGGCGGAAAAGGTTAAGTTTCTTCTTAGGGTGGGGCAAAGCAAACCTATCTATAATGCATTCAAAGCTATTCGACAGTCTCCCGATTGGCAAACATTAAGTGATGCTCGGAAACGTATAGTTGAAAGTCAGTAATTTAAAAATCTCACGCTACTGTTCTTGTGACTGTTTAGTCTCTGTTGGCATGTTATTTTTCATGCTTAGTTGCTTGAGTTGCTCTCTGGGTTACATAGAAGTGCCTGTTCACATCTTGTGTATACTTATTTCACTACTTGGAGAATGTCTCTGCAGTTTTATGATAAATATTCTTTTTGAAACTTTTTTATTTTCACCAGATGTTAACTCAATCAGGTGGTTAGGTTTTAGGTAGAAGGAGGTAGTTCGAGCTTCTCCTTGGCTCCCCACTGAACAGAAAATTGAGCAGACGATTCGCTATGTTTTTGGTCTTCTGAACTCTGATAGTTATGTATTAGTTGTAAAGATGATGTTTATTCAAATTTTGTCAAAGTATGTATTTTGGTGTGAATTGTCTCATGAATTTTCTCTCATCTAATATCGGGCTTCTTAGCTTTAAGTGTCTGCCTCTGACTCTGTATTCTACTTATTGGTGTCTAAATTTTGTTCTACAATATCTGCATGAATTGTCATGCAAGTTGTTAAATAAGTTATATATTGAAGCATAATTTCGGAGCGTTCACTTCCTTTCTACTTGGACATACAAATATATTGTGTGGGACTTTTGTAATCTCATTTTATTAAGTGGCAATTTTACTTGTGCGCTCCAGACCAAATTAAGGAGGCTGTTCTTGCTGGTGTTGCTCTTGAAGATGATAAAAGAGAGCAATTTAATGAAATTGAACAGGTTAGCTTTTGTGACAGTGGAAGTATGACAAGTTGTTATATGTGACGTGGAATTTGTTCCTCCTTGTTTATTTGTAAATTTTTTTTTTTTGGGGGTTATTACTTGCTAAAACGAGAGCTTTGGGTTTTGGTTAAAATTCTTGTCTCTTTTAAAAGGAAGCAACTGAACTTCTGAATGGTGTAAGTTGAAGTCATCGGATTGCAACTTTCCGTATTTTGAAAGTTTGAACAAGATAAGCAGCATGAACTGGTATTACTAGTCCCCGCGTCGAAAAGTTAAAGCCTAAATAAAGATGGGATAGGAATTATAATGAATTTTTGAAAATTTAAATTGTGGTTTTCTGGGTTTTGCTTTAATATGTCAACCGCAACATTCTAAATGTGCTGTCTATGAAGTTCAGTGATATCACACTCTGTAAGGCTTTTAGTATGCAATATGATAAAAGCTTGGCTGTAGTCTCTGTAGACGGAGTTACTGTAAGTTTCTTGATGAAAGTTGGTAATTGTTACAATCACCCGTTGGTTTTCAACTAAAATTGCCTTTTGTTTTACCTCTGCGTGTGTTTCAATTGTGCTTACCATGATTTCATATGCAGGAGCTGGAAAAGTTATCACAAAAATTTGGGGAGAATGTTCTGGATGCTACAAAGAAGTTTGAAAAATTAATCACGGATAAGAAAGAGATAGAAGGATTACCTGCTACTGCTCTTGGATTGGCTGCGCAAAGTGCAGTGTCTAAGGTATGTCTTGTTGACATAATATTTATTATCACTCTTTGATTTATTCAGCTATGAGTATTAACTGATTCCTAAACTCATGGAAATTGGTTGCCTTATCAAATGCTAATATGACCTGTGAGTGCAGGGGCATGAAAATGCCACAGCTGAGAATGGGCCTTGGGTAATCACATTGGATGCTCCGAGTTATATGGCTGTTATGCAACATGCTCAGAATCGATCCTTGCGAGAGGAAGTTTATCAGGCATATGTAAAACGAGCATCTAGTGGAGATCTGGATAACACAGAAATCATTGACCAAATTTTAAAGCTTAGGTTGGAGAAGGCCAAGCTTCTCAACTACAATAACTATGCTGAGGTATAATATTTTCATATTGAGAATTACGTTGAGTCCTATTGTAGGTTGCTAATGTGTAACCGACAGGTAAGCATGGCAACTAAAATGGCCACTGTTGATAAAGCAGAAGAACTTCTAGAAAAGCTTCGCAGAGCTTCTTGGGATCCTGCTGTGCAAGGTAGTTTCTAATGTGTTTTGTTATGATGTTTGGATCATATCCCAAATTGCATCTAATTCTTGGCTTGTTCTTAGTTTTGTGTGGGCATTTTTTGTTTCAAATATTTCTCCATTTTTGGTTTCAAATTGATGGCTGGATTCTCCATTTTGTGTTTCAAATATTTCTGTTGGCAGTTAAGAGAAACATTTTTTTCCCTAAAATATAGTAAAGAACTATGTGTCCTCGAATTCTGATATCTTTGATGTTTCATACATCCCAAGTTATGGTCTCCTTTAAAATGCAACTCACATTATTGTTATTTTAGTCCTTTCTTTTTGTCATGCAAGAATATAAGTGTTGTATGCTTTTACCTGCAGATTTGGAAGACCTTAAGCAATTCTCCAAAAGTCAAGGTGCACCAGAAGCTGCTGATTTGACACATTGGGATATGGGCTTTTGGAGTGAGAGGCTCCGTGAATCAAAATTTGACATTAATGAGGTTGCTCTCTCTCTCTCTCTCTCTCACATGCACGCTTGCGCGTGATCGCATGCCTGCACAGATAGGAAATTGGCATGAGTAGGACACTTTGAATACATGAAGTGACCATTGACGGGAAGACGTGATAGCGAAATTTGAAATGTTTACAACACTGTTCAAAGTTTATTCAACATTTATTTTTGGCGAGTTCATCATGTTTGTTCTGTTATACCTTTTAAATTCTGAATAAGAGTACGGCGTAGGGTTTAATTAGAGCAGGACAAAATTTTATGGGCCTCTCTCAAGTTATGGGTCCAATTGATTGTGTCAACATCTGTCATTAATTAGGTGATCTGAGTGCTCTGAAGTATTTCAAGCTGGACAGAGTTGACTGTCACTCATTTTTATTTATGACAGCCATATTAAGAATATCTTCCTCAATCCTAGTGGATGGCCTGATAATCTTTGTTTAGTCTATTGAATGATGAATGGACTGTTTCAAGGTTCTGTTTGTTTTAATCATATTTCATCTTTACCTTTGTAATTGAAGCTATTAATCATTGTATGATAATGAACATGCTACTTCAAGGCTGTTACTTATGATAGTATTTTAGCCTTTCTTTTGTTATCAAGAAAGTTTTGATCTGCAATATGAAGCTCAGATTTCTGGTGTTGTGTCATGCAGGAAGAACTGCGTCCATATTTCTCTCTGCCTAAGGTTATGGATGGACTTTTTAACCTTGCAAAAACACTTTTTGGCATTGAAATTGAGCCAGCTGATGGCCTAGCACCGGTAATAAAGTGCAAATATTCTTAGTTCCTTGTACATGGTAACATCTGTCCTAAAAACTGACTCATGAATATTCCTATACAGGTCTGGAATAAAGACGTCAGATTCTATCGTGTTAAAGATTCTTCAGGCAGTCCTACTGCATACTTCTATTTTGATCCATATAGCCGTCCTTCTGAGAAAAGACAAGGTGCATGGATGGATGAAGTTTTTGCTCGCAGTCGTGTATTATCACATGATGGTACCACTGCAAGGTTGCCTATTGCCCACATGGTGTGTAATCAGACACCACCTGTAGGGGACAAGCCAAGTTTAATGACATTCCGTGAGGTGACTTCAGTTTCCTTTATTGTATTCATTTGTTTATCTTTTGCACCTGCAATAGTTACTGTAGCAATGTGTAAAACAACCATGTTATTCAGCTTATGCCAAGCTCTCTCTCTCTCTCTCTCTCTCTATCTATATTCCTCCATTTAAGAAGTTCATTTCTACGCTAGTTGCTACTGGGAGTGTTTGATCTGATGCACCTGGAAATGCTCAACTTGCTCAACTTAGGATCCTGTGATTCTTAATTATGAGTGTGAAATCAATCATGTCAAGGTCTTTAAAGTTTAAAGTGAAACGTGGATGAAACTAACGCTTATCAGTAACACCAAAGTTCTATATTGTATATCTTGTTAATAATTAATAAATAATTCATGGTTCAACCAATATCTTGCGGATTGGGAGGTGCTAGGGAACTGTCTTGACTGAGTAATTGCCCCTCTTCAATTCAAATTTTGACTTGATTTGGTTACCAGAAAAATTCATGTTGCAAACAAGTCATACTATTAAACATTCTCATGCTTCTGCCAATTGTTATACAATCCACACAACAATTGACTGATCCTGACAAACTCACTTATCATTAAGTTTACACGAGTTACAATGAAGTATTGAAAATTCTAATTATGCAATGAGCAGCATATTGTCATTTGTTTTAATGGGGTGACAAATTACTACTCCTTTACTTTCCTGTCCTCTTTCTCAGGTTGAGACTGTCTTCCATGAATTTGGGCATGCACTTCAACATATGCTCACCAAGCAGGATGAGGGTCTGGTTGCTGGTATCCGAGGGATAGAGTGGGATGCTGTTGAATTACCTTCTCAATTCATGGAAAACTGGTGTTACCATAGGTAATTAAGAATACAGTTTCATGGTATTTAAAAATTTCTTTGTTGCTATAATCCTGACTATTGTTTTAACCAGACATGGATGTACACCTAATGTATATAATATGTGCTCCAGCCTTGTTTTGATTGAAGTAAATGGCAGCTTCTGACAAATCAGTTCTTTTCAACATTTCATTGTGCTTATGGTGCTTTATGCTCTTGATTTATAAATTACCTCCCCTTTCTTCATCTTTTGGATTAAGAGGGAAAATCACTGGGCCGTCTACAGGTGGTATCCAGTGCTTTGGTCCATCTTAGCACCATATTAATAATTCATTCATGTGGTGATTTTTATTGTAGACTGACACCGTAACATTTTATTGAATTTAATGATTTTTTTTTTAAATTTTAATAAAATATGATGTATCCAAGACATTTATGATTTTTTGGCCCCTAACAGAGAGACTTTAATGGGCATTGCAAAGCACTTTGAAACTGGCGAGAGTCTCCCTGAAGATATATATTTGAAACTTGTTGCTGCTAGGACCTTCCGTGCTGGCAGTCTAAGTCTTCGACAGGTCATTATAGTACATTGGCTAATTATTACTTTTCTGTATCTCTTGTGCTTGGAAGTTACTTCTATTACTCTCGCTAATTTGGCATTTAAGTTTTGGTCCTGTTCTTGATGGCGTTGTATGGTATTTGCCTTTTTGAGGATAAGATAGAAAAAAGGCATTTAGCTTTTTGTGTTTTTTTTTTTTTTTTGGGCCAATTGTATGTTGAGGACTTACCTTTGTTAATATGATTAATTAAAAAAATTTGTGCAATTAGAACAAAAATTTATCCTTTGTTTCCACTTCTTTTGGAACGTATTTTTGTCTTTTTTGGCTGTTTTGGTTTTTTTAGCATCAGGAATGGTTTAAGATGTCTCTATTCATTGTTTATTTGGGGGCAGGGAGGAAATTTTCATTTTCCAGGATTAGTCATAATGCTTGTATCGGGCATTTAAAATGTGACGGAAACACAAACACAGACGTACTTGTCATAGGTTCTGTGAGAGTTTCAGTACGAAGTCCTTGCTGCAATTGCTTGTCTTTGAAAAGGAAAGATTTTTTTCCCCCCAAAACTTTTTGTGTTGTCTCTAGTTGTATTGAATTGCTATTAGACTAGCAATGCTATATGATAATGAATTGGGCTTTAAAGGAACAATAAGAAAATAAAGTTGAAGTACTGGAGATGAAGATTTGGAGATTGATGTATGGGTTTACAAGAAAAAATAAGATTTATAATGAACTTATACGAGGAAGAGTTGGCATGGTATCTATTGAGGAGAAAATGGTAAACAATTGTTTAAGGTGGTTTGGACATGTATAAATAAAGCTGTTGGAGGTGCCAGTGAGAAAGGTGGAGTAGATAATTTTGAGTTAATGAAGAAGGGTAAAGGAAGGCAAAAGAGAACACTCGACGAAGTTATTAAACTGAACTTCTTGGTTAACAATTTATCCAAATATTTGATTGTTGACAGAGTATAGTGGCGTCATGCAATCTATGTAGCTTATTCCATCTAGTGGATAAGGCTTGCTGTTGCTGTCTCTAGTTATGTGTTTGAAGGGCAGAATTATATTGATTACATATCCCGTGAAGAAAAATGGTTATAAAATGGAAATTATGATTGCATTAATCATAAGGCCATTTCCTTGGGCTCTATTTCAGTAACCTATTTAACCTTTATGCTTCAATATTTTATCCAGATTGCATAGTTTATTTGCCATTTTTGACTTTGCTGTCCATATTACATAAGTTATGTCTTTAAATAGATGACATGACTTCTGATTTATTACCCGTAAAATATGACTTGCAGTTAAGATTTGCAAGTTTAGATTTGGAGCTCCATACAAAATATGTTCCTGGGGGATCTGAATCTATCTATGATGTTGACCGGAGAGTTTCTGAGCGAACTCAAGTGCTTCCTCCATTCCCAGAAGATAGGTTCCTATGCAGTTTTAGCCATATATTTGCAGGTTTGTTCTGCTTGTATATTTTTGAAACCATGTTTTGTTACTTGTTTGCTACTCTGTCCCTGAAACCTAACATGATGTGTATGTTTTGGGTTCTGCTATGGTTAGGTGGCTATGCAGCTGGATACTACAGTTACAAGGTATTCTGAATTGTTTTAATGTTGAAGCATGTTTCTGAGGTTGAGGCACTTTGAAAATGTGATCCCCTTTTAATTATATCTTATGACGAATTTCTTTGCTATGCAGTGGGCTGAGGTGCTGTCTGCAGACGCTTTCTCTGCATTCGAGGATGCTGGATTGGATGACCAGAAGGTATCACTGAAAGCACTGTCAATAAGGATTGAGTTTTGACTAATAAGATTGTCTGTGTTTAGTCTTCTAAATCTCCCATTCTGAGTCTACTAATAAAACAAGCTAGTTTTTAGCAACTAGAAGATAATTAGAATGGCCTATGAATATTTATTGCCTGTTCGTTTTTCCCCCTGATAAGAAACTGTTAAAGCAAAAAACATTCATGTAATTTACTATTTTTATTTCTTTGATGTATGATGTCCCATTTAAAACATAACAAGTGTATGGTTCTCTAATAATATTATGACAAGTTTGTGGTTGTTGCAGGCTTGCAGCAAGCTGTGTTTTTCCATTAAACAATGTCATAGTATTATTGAAGGATGTATGATGGACTAAGGGATAAAGGATAATTTAGATTATTTGATTATGCCCCTAAGATGTTTAGGCATCTGTTTTATTAAGATTATGATATTTTGTTTAAATGAGGATATTTATATTATCTTATTGATTTTTTTTTTTGGAATAAGGATTAATCAGGATGTAGTAAGGTTTACATTTATCTTATTATTTTCTTATCTTTTAGGACATTTTTAGATTTTATTATTTTAAAAAATTGACTTAGGGCTGTATAATAGCCCTAGGGTTTTCATAATCATTAGACCTTTGGTGATTTAATCAATATTGAATATTTGAGTTCTCTTTCTCCACCTCAATTTCTGCTTATGTTTGCAATATTTTAATTGGGTTACATTATAACAAAGTAAATACGGAACTGCACTTAGTCTAATCTTTTCTGTAACTGATGATATACCATAAAAAACTTAGTGTAATCTTTTCTTGTCATTACACTCGCAAACGATTTGTGATTTTAGATGTTTGTCATTGTCAAACTTTGAAACTTGTCGTAGTGTTCTGCTGTTCCCCCTTGTTACTTGTTTACCTCTGAGCTGTGACTATCATTATGCATTTTGATAGGCCGTGAAAGAAACAGGGAAGAGGTTCCGAGAGACCATTCTTGCTCTTGGTGGTGGCAAGGCACCACTGGAGGTACCTCCGAACTGCTCTTCATTAATCTTGTTTTTTCTTTTTTAAGTTTGTTAGTAGAAAGAAGTAGAAAGATTTCCTAAGAATCATCACAGCCAATGTGGCTATCCTTTTGTTGATTAAGCATCTTGATGTTTTTATCTAATGCCTTGAGCATGTGCATGCAGGTCTTTGTACAATTCCGGGGCAGAGAACCAACACCAGACGCATTGCTCAGGCACAATGGCCTTTTACCAGTTGCAGCTTGATATCGTTGATCTTCAATATGCTTGGTTAGGTAGAGACAGGCGGTTGAGCTTGAATGTTTTTTTATTTCGTGGCCTAACCTTTTTTTTTTTTTCTATATACGAGGTTTGGAAAATGCAGACTTGTTTCACAGGTCTTCGTGTCGTCCAAACTTTTGGATCCTGTCCCATTGTAGTGTTAGTATGCAAGGAGAAGTTCTTATTGAGTGAATAATTTGTAACATGGGATCACAGCTGCTTGGAGATTCAACTAAAAAGTGAATGCAAGTAGAAGCTCTCTTGGTTCCATAGTATTGGTTGTTTCGACACATTTGAGAACTGAGATGTCCGCTTTTTCTGTTATATATTTAGCAGCTTGATTATGAAGATAAATTTCAGTCATTGGTAAATTCATTCTTAATTTGTAATTTGCAAAATTATCCCTTCAATTAAAATCTTATTGAATTTAAATCAATTTATTTATTTCTCTATTAGATAAATAAATAAATGGAGACTTTATAAATGATAAATTTAAGGTGATAGTGATACTGTTATTGAAGGTATTAATGTGAAAACTTGATAACTGCCAAGAGTATTGTTCTATGGTTTAAATTTTTGAAGGGTATTGTTGGCAGAAAAAATTGATTATCCTTAGGAAAAAGGATTTGTATATTCCTTTCCATTAATAATTAGTTGATTTTGCAAACAGAAAAGGACGTGCTAACCACTTCCTCATTCCCGTGCCTTCAAGTCAAGCGGCTGGCAGTGTAGTTCTGGTTATGGTGGTTGGGGTGTTTAGCATAAATATATATATATATATATATATATATTATTCCTTCCCTCCTTAATATAATACTTAATTGTTAAATTAATTTTGATTTTAAATATGAGATTTATTTTTTATATTTATTATTTTTTTCTACACTCCCTTAATTATAATCAAGTAAAAAAAAGAGAGAGGATATTAAGGAAAATAATTATGGTGTTTTAGGAAAAACATGTTATATTTTCTATAATTAACTAATTTACTTAACTTTTTTAATCTAATCAAATTAGTTAAATAATCTTATACTAAAGAGCAGAGGAGTATATAAATATATATATATATTATGTATTAAAAGAAATTATGAGAAACTATTGTTTAAGAAGTGCAGAGGCGGAAGTAGCTAAAGTCCTTTTGTGAAGTTCAATGGGATTAGTTACTGTTACACGCCGTAGATATCATGGGCTTAACAAAAAAAAAAAAAAGAATTAAAAGGGTTTTATTTTGAGAAATTTTATATTGCAGTTAGTGCTATAAAAACACTGAGTTCATATTCTACTAAAAACTATTTTTTTGACCAGGATTAAAAAAATATTGAGTTTATATTAATGATATTTTTAATTTAAATGTAGGCACTGATATTATATTTTAAGATTACACTTACATTAGATTACTTATATCAATTATCTCTCTCATAAACTAACTTAACCTTAGTATTTTCCTTTATTCTATTAATACATTCAATAAAATATCTTGTAGGATATTTCCAGTGAAAAAAAAAAAAATCCTCTATATTGCAGGTTGTTTGAGTAGGTTCTGGTTCTGTTGAGCTTCACGGTGGCGGTGGGTATATTGGGAACGGTGGCATTGTCCGGCTCCGCAATCTGCGTTGTTCGCTAACGGTAGATCTGCAAATAACATGGCTCGCGCCGGCGGCATCACAAACGCCGTCAACGTTGGAATAGCGGTTCAAGCTGATTGGGAGAACCGCGAATTCATCTCTCACATTTCTCTCAATGTTCGTCGCCTCTTTGAATTCCTTGTCCAATTTGGTACTCAAATTCTCTTCCTTTCTCTCTTCTTTGGTTTCCCATTCCTGTTCCTTCACTCCAAAGGATTTAATATTTTGAGTGTGTAATAATTGGTTCGATATGCTAATCTCCTCACAGTATAGATATGTGCGTGGTGTTTATCTTGTATTCTTTCTGCCATCCATTATTTCGTCCGCCCATTTGATTTTGTTTATCTTCATTCAGAGGCTACGACAAAAAGCAAGTTGGCATCGTTGAATGAGAAGCTTGATGTCTTAGAGCGTCGACTAGAACTCCTTGAAGTTCAAGTGAGCACTGCATCAGCAAACCCTTCTCTATTTACCACTTAATGTTTGTCTGGATCATGATGTTGTAATTCAGCCTTCCTGTAAGAACCTTCCAACCTATATTGTATTTACAAGTCAATTCAATAGAAAAGTATCTCTGTAACCTCTTGCTTCATGATATAAATTTAGTTTGTTATTTGCCATTTTTGGCTCATATAGCTGCCAGTTGCAATGCCTTTAACTCGGTTCCTTCTAATGTGAGGTTATAACCTCGTATTCTCATTGCTTCCTGGTCCCTTTGTTTTATATGTGAAATCATACTTCCATATTGGACTCAATCGCCTGATTTCTGCCAAAATCGTTCATCTAAATTGTGGCGATGGTTAGTGCTGTTATGTTTAATTAGATCAGGAAGAATTTATACAAACTATTACAGTTGCTTTATGGATGTTTTGCAAGATGGAGAGAAGCAGAATGGAGTAAGAAAGAGAATAGTTCAACGCCTTTTAACGATGCATTTTACTTGTAATGAAAAGGAAGCTCATACTTATGACAAACACCAGTTAATACCATATGAGAAGAATTCAATGGTTTGTTGCATTTAATCAGAGAAAAATGCAGTTGATTCTTAATAGGTGGTATTGGTATTGCGGTAGCAAATTGCATAATCTCTGTTAGTAACAGGCACCATCCAAAGCTTCTGATTTATCGTTAGTGTAAAACTGAATAACTTGGAGAATACAGATTCGGGGGTTATCTCCTTGTTTTTTTTTTTTTTAAATTGTTCTCTCTTTATTCTTTTCTTTTCTTTTTTTTTTTGTTTTTTTTAAAATCAAGGGTGCATTGTTCACTACGTAGAAACACTTAATGCAGTGCATGAAGCAGTAATTTGTGGATGGAGGCAGGTATTTATTAACCGGTTATCTGAAATGGTATAACTCAAAACTGCACTACTTTGGGGATGAACTCATGAGGAAACAATCCATGATAAAAGGCTTCACAAAAGCATCAAAGTTCTAGTCTTGTTCCCCTCGGGTTTTTGTGTTGTCGTATTACAGAGTCCAGATCCACTGGGTCAACATATTAAACTCATTACATCAATTGATGTTAGATGGAAATAAAACAAAACAGAAAGAGAAAATAGAAGCCCTTTGCAGCTTTTTGGTTAAACTGAGAGTTCATCATTAATTCGCTTCCATCTTTGCTATTCCCTGACATTCCAGATGTTCATAGTTCCATCGAAAGCTTTCTTGAGCTGTCAATGAGTTGATTAATGAAATACTCACGGCCAAAACCCGTCGTTGGTGTTCTTTACTAGTGGCTTTAGTAACGGTGTTCGCCATCTCACCATATTTTTACTGTGACAAACACCCAAACCCACATTTGCTTTCTCCAAATTCAACAATTTGGGGAAAGTACTTTCAATGTGTTACTCAAATACACTTACGCTGCATATTTTGATCTGAACCTATTTGTTATCATTGTCTCCCTCATCATTTAGAATGTGACATGACTAGAGTGATTATCACTAACGAATCAAAAGGATTCTCATTCGCCCATATTTGCTGCTATCTGGGATGTGGGTGGGACATGGTTTTAGGCGAGACGGTTGATTCTGTTGTGGATGGAGATGGGGTTACAATCTTCTTCTCTATTACAAAGGAATAGCGATTTGATCCTCCAAGGCTTTCTATGGACTTCATGTATTCTGATGCATTGTTTTCTATAATCAGAGCATCCTCCAACTCACGTACAATATCAGCCATGCTTGGTCGATGCACTGAGAATGGTTCAATACATGACAGTGCTGTTTCCACAACTCTCCACATGGCCTCTGCATGATATCCTCCCTTGATGTTAGGATCCACAATTTCATCGATCTTTGACGCCCTTATGTATGGTTTAGCCTGCATTAGAAAATTATTTCTTAGTGCCTACTAGGTTTGTTCTTACTTTCCAGGATAACCTCTATGTAACGTAAATGTCATTCAGGTGATGTTCTACTTGTGCAGTAAAATGATGGACACATTTGTATTTGTGCCATACCCATTCTACCAAGTTCCACTCATCTCGTGGTCTTCGTGTGTTGAGAGGTTCCCGGCCGCTCACAATTTCAAGTAGAACCATGCCGAAGCTAAAGACATCACTCTTTGCCGATAATTGCTGTGTTGTGTAGTACCTACATATGTATAAATGTTAGCTCCTTGTGAAAATTTGTTTATAGTTGTGTTCTGTATCACTTGAAAGTAATCTATGATGCTGTGAAATCAGAGGAGAATGTGCGTGTCATTTTTTATCACACGATTTCAGCAAATCTGTTTTGATCTTAGATGCCCCAAAGAGTTATGATTGGAGATTGACACAGCAAGCTATTAAGTCTGCTCAAAGAGATGGAGTGATGTAAGAAAGTCTTATTAGGACAAAATCGTAAAACCAAATTACTTACTCAGGGTCCATATATCCTGCGGTTCCTCTTACTTCAAGAGAAGCACCACTATCTCCTTCCTGAGGAGCATATTTTGAGAAACCAAAGTCTGCTACCTTGGCACACATGCTGTGATCCAGAAGTATGTTGCTTGATTTGACGTCTCTGTGTATAACAGAACGTCCCGAAAATGTATGGAGATACGACAAACCTGTTAATTGAGAAAAAGAATGTAATCATTATGGCGATCCCAATATCCTAAAAGATGAAAATCTGTTGGCTTAAAAGTATCAGAGTTAGCATCAGATCTCCGGTCACGTCTACATGCTTCATTTTGTTCAGTGTTTACATAAAATTAGCTTAATCTTTGTTATTCTACTTTTGATTGATTGACGTTGTTTCTTTCTAATAAAGTACCAAGTTTATATCTGGATCGGTTAAAATTGAAAATGCTTGGTGAAAATTTTGACATCAAATTTACTTGCCTCGAGCTGCACCCAGAGCAATAGATAACCTGGTTGGCCAGTCTAATGGTTTTCTCTTTGCTGGTTCCCCTGCTGGGAGATTGAATCTTAGAAAATACCGGGAATCGAAAGTTTAAAGCAAATCAGGTGAGAGAATGGTGGATATTTACCATAAAGCCTATCTTGTAAAGAACCATTGGACATAAAAGGATACACGAGAATTTGTTGATCCTTTTCACAACAGTAACCAATAAGATGCACCAGGTTCTCATGGCGTATAGCAGAGAGCAAGTTTACCTGGCAGAAGAATCATAGACTAGTTAGATATTACACCATGGGAAGCTATCGTGAAATCTCACAACACATCAGTTCCATATATCTATATATATAACTTGTAGGAAGCCGCATTATTCATTAGTTATGAACAATGTGGCTTACATAAAACTTCGTGTAGTACATTAAACCCACATATGGTTGCACTAAAATGGTCCTTATTGTACCTCGTTGTCAAATTCACGAGTCCCCTGAGTTGATGTGGCTGAACGGACCTTCACTGCCACTTGTTGGCCATCTTCTAGGGTGCCACGGTAAACAGACCCAAACCCTCCTTCACCAATCAAAGTTTTGTAGTTTTGGGTGGCTGCCTCTATGTATTCAAGCGTGAATGTTTGAATGGACACTGACTTGACGAAGAAATCATCTTTACTGGTTAAAGAGAAGATTAAATCTGCATAATGCATACGCAGTAGAAATGTTAGATACTTTGCATTGACATGTTAAAATGGTTATCTTCCTGACAGAATAGACGCTGTTTCTAATTTATTTTCTCTTACGCAACTTAATGAGCAAGTTCCTGATTTTAATGAAAGAATTTTTTTGGGGATTACTAAAATCACGACCTCCGCAGCTCTTTGAGAGGATTATTTATTTATTTTTTCATTTGATGGTCAAAAGGCAAACCTGTGAGAAAGCACTATGTCTAGAAGAGATAAGAGTATGTTAGAATGTGCGAAGAGGTCTGATTTACTTGTGGTTGGTGGGTATCCCTTTTCATCAGATGCTTTCCAGGGGACTAATTTTCCTCTTCTATGGCAACCAAAAAGAATTCCAACGGCCAAAATGAACAGGAGCAATCCACATGTAACAGTGCCAATGATGATATGCTTTTGTGAAATTCCTGTGTCTCCAGGTTTGCAACTTCCGTAACTGAAACATCATTGTAAATCAGTCATTTTTTTTCCTCACTTTTTTCGTCTTTTGAACCTAAAATCTTTTGTTGTTCTGGGGAAAATTCCATACTCTGTATTTTCTAAGCTGTTTAAGGAAGTTGGAATCTCCTTGTCCATGCGCTTATTGCAGCCAAAATACCTGAAAGAAATGCAAGACAATATCCTTTTATTTCTGGTTTATTTGGGGCGTGAGAAGAAAATTATAATGACTAGAAGGTGGTTCCTAGTTAAGAAGTACCAGAGCATGAAAAAGAAGAAAACTTACAAGGACTTCAGTTGTGGCAGTAAGGGAAGGGTCCATGGAAGCGATCCTGTGAGATCATTGTGGCTCAGATCTCTGTTTCAGAAATTTATACTTGTCAGCACATGAAAACTGGTGCTATGACCACACTTGCAACAAATGGAATTGCTGTGATTGGAATCCAGTGAAAGAATGATGAAATTTTCCAATGTGTGTGTGTGTAACAAGAAAATGTTAAAGCAAATCATTCTAAAGGTAACAGTTATTACTTAGGTTTGTCCGCATATGCTCATGCCTCAATGACGGGTCAGTGTTTCAAAACCATTCATAATATATATAAGATAACATTATAAACACGTCTGATTATATTTTTGAAACCTATTAATGTGAAGCTATATGGTTTGCATGAAACAAATGATGAAACTTTTGTATCCAAAAACATCTAAAAGATTCATGAAGTTGAGTGCTATCATCAACTCATGATTCTGTGTATGATTATTCAGAAACAATTAAATATGGTTGTGAACTGTCTATCTCTATGAAAATTGATATTGATTGTGTTGTTAAAACTTGTACAGTATCTTCATGAGTCATTGTTGAAGTTGAGGAGAGATAATTACATTGATGTAAGCAAAGATGAAGGCAGAAATGTGGGGATATTCCCACTTAAGCTATTGTAGCTCAGGTTCCTGCACAAACATGACCAAATAGTTATATAGACGCAACATAAAACAGCGTCCCTGTATTCATACACATGCAACCAAGAAGGCAAGAAGCTATACTGAACAAGAAGAGTTTCAAGAGCAATACAGTATTTTTAAGTTGGACAACCCAGTGATACTGGAAGGAATTGGTCCTCGGAGATTACTTGAAGAAAGATCCCTGAAAATAAGAATAGTGTGTGCCGCAAATCACATCTAATTGAGTCGTGCTCCGATTGGAATGTACTTGGGAGCATTTTCAGAAGAAAAATATAAGAAACTTACAGTTTAGTGATAACAAGTTGACCACTTAAACGATCACATCCTACATGCTTCCATGGAAACATAATGCAAGGGTCTCCATTCCAACTCTCCAGCTCTTTATTTCCTCCGTTATTCTCTAACAATTGCTCTCTCACCTTCAACATCACTTCCGCTGAAAGCAGACATATAATGATGCTTGCGTAAGAGAAAGGTGTAAAGACATTCTGCCACAGAGTAGAATGCGTCTAATGATGAAAAAAATTTGAACTGGGAAGTTTCCAGATCTTCATACCATTTCAAGTTATATTATAATTCACTCTGGTATTCCATATTATGGCTGCTTAAAGATTTTAACTTGAACAAGGGTTTTATCTGATAACACACCGCCCATGTGGAAGTTACCAGAATGTGCCATGCAAACTGGATAAGAAACTGAAAAGGAAAGAAAAGAAAAGAAGAAAATCCCCAACAAAATGGGGTTTGAATTTTCAATTGTACTCACAGTCTGTTTGGTTGGTCTCCTGTTTCCAGGGGATGACCTTCAGGATCTCGTATGCATTACAAAGCGGTCCATTCTCAGACCCAGAAGCCTTGCTCAAGGTAAGATTCAGCGACCCATTTGCCGACAAGTTCAAAACAGCTTGTCTGTAATTCGATCCACCAGCAAATATGTCAAACTTCGGCACTTTGATCACCCCGTTCACGTAAATATCAAACACCCTTTTGCTTCGTCCGACGCTATTATTCAATTCAAGAAAGCTGAGAATCACACGGTATTCGGAATTCTCAGGGTCGAGGCCACTGTGGAAGAATTCCAACCTATCAGCATGCGTAAGAGCGGTTCGTAAGACTCGTAGAGGAGGTGTCGAATTAGCATTGTGGCTGGAAATGTTTGCATTCGATGATACGTGAGAAGATGACGGACTTGAAGTAGCTTTCCAGATTCTGTCACTTCGGTCAAGCGGGTACCTGAAATCAGCAAATTCCTTAGTATTATAAACTTCACTTTATTTTTCTTTCGTTTTTTTACTTTTGGTATTTGTCTACTGCATTGAGATCGTACCAAAGGAGGACATTCTACAGTGGCATCCTCCTCATGGGATTATGCTGTTCTGTCCATAATATGGTAAACAGGTGTGTGTGTGTTTCCAACTTGTTATTTCTTGTTATGATCAATAGGTCTGCATTCCATTTTCAGTACCAGGATAAAAGTTGAATGCACTCAATACAGCAAGGGGAAAAGATAATTCTGGTGCATTATGGTGATTATAAAGTTTATGGCTTACATGTATTGTGAAGTATCAACAACTTCAAATTACTTAGATGTATGGACATTAGTTATCTTAAATTTCATATCAGCAATTGTCCACTTGCATTCAATCTTTCAAAAATCTCTGGAGTGCTCCCTGCATCCTAGGTTTCTTGCATTCCAAAAGCCTTAAATGGCTTCAGGAACCGTTCTCCTAATATAAAATTGAACCAAAACATAGTAAGCAACGCTTTTGGTCATAACCTAAAGTGCATCTGCTATTTTCCGGTAGGGAAGAGATACTGACTTTGTATTTATTATCTTCTTCATTTATATGTGTGTTATTATGGGGGGGAAGAATTCTTAGTATGAGTTTTCAAAAGTTTAGGCCTTTAGGTGCTCAAGGGGATAACTACTTTTCACAGTGAATTGAAACTGCAGCTTACATACCTGATGTCATCTCCGGTGGCCCCTAAGTTATTTCTTGTGATCACTTTTAGGACACTTGAAGGGGAATCCAGTAGGTACTCTTCTCCAAACGGCCTCACTTCAATAAGTGAAACATAAGGACTTCCGGCTTCCGCAACTAAGCAGAAACTCGTGTAATTCTTTGTAGCTCTGAAAATTCCTTCAAGTAATTCCACGTCCTGAGATGGTTTATTTACCACACCTAATAAGGTAACCCCAATCGTAACAACAAAAGAGGAATTCGGAGATACACTCAGAGAGTCATCAGATGGAAATGCGCCCCTGAGCAGATATGCTTGATCCTTAATTGTTGGCAAGTTGTAACATCTTTTTCCTTTATCTATATCAAACACTCTAGCTTTCCCATGGTTCTCCACGGGCTTAATTGTGTCTACGCAGTTTGTTTTATCTGGGTAGAAACTAAAATCTGACGTGTAATTTACTGAAGTCTTTGGATCTGTATAATCTGAATCAGCACAGCACGCTATGCTCACAAAACCTGCACAGATGATGATATGTCAATAGATCATACATATGTATCAACTTAATTGACTCATAGGTATGCTAGGGCTCAAGATAATGGAGGAAAAAGAAAGGAAAGGAAGGATTAATTTATCTTGCCCTTAATTTAAATCTAAAAGAAACCTTAATTCCTTTCCCTCCCTTTTCCTTCTTTGTCCTTAATTGAAACATTCCCTAAAACAACTCGGCAAACAAAGAATGTCAACTGATTTATGATTCTCTTAAATCTCGATACTATAGTACGTAACTAGCATCCATGAAAAAGAATAATAAGCCCTAAACTTACTTTAGCCAACGTCCAGAATGATACAAATAATTTCAAAGGAAGTTTCATCGAGAAAGTAATCAATAATGATGATCAAAGAGATGTACTTAAGCTGCTAACCTTCACTTGCAAAAGCTGATCTGATAAACAGAAGAAGGCAAAGGATATAAACCACAACAAGCCTTAAACCCTGGTTATCCAATTCCTCCATTTTTTTCTGAAAGAAAGGTCACCTAAGGGGGTTTTGTCAAACATGAATCCATGCCAATCACTAACTTCTCATCTTCTAGAATCCATCGATCAATCTTTGTCTGTCATATCAATCTGGAGTCGGAACTCTTTAGTTTCCTGGTGATTTAGATGAAAGAAAAGGCCTTGTTCAATCTGAACAATAGTCCATGACCTCAAACATTTCTGTCGTTTCCTCCAAATGAATCTTAAACCATAAGAACTAGACTTTGTTTGGATGGGGATCAGGGGCCGAAGATTCCTGAAAATATGAGTTTGACTTCTGAAGTTGAAGCTGCAGGAGGTAGAAAGGAGATGGAATTAGAGTTATAGCTTGAATTAGAACAATTCGTTGATGATACATTTGTTTAATTCCATTATAAATGTTACATTTTATTATTGTTTTTTGTTTTGTTGGTCGTTACTGGAATACGTTAATTGAATATTAGTATTGACTAAAATAATAGGAATGATCAATCCTTTGTGTTCCTCCACCTTCTTCCCTCTCATTATTGGTTTAACAGTGGATGCCACCTAGTGGAAACAAGAGGGCATCGGAATTGTTCCGTGGTAACAAATGAAAATTTCCACAGTACTTGTACGTACAAATAGTTTCTGACTTTTCACAGCAAAAAGTATTTTTTTTCCAGTCTTGTAAATCCAGATTATCATTAATATCCACTAAGAATTTCATTTTATTGGTTGTTAGCACTTAGCACTCTAGCAAAGAGACAGAAGCCTCTTATTTAACCCATAGTAAGAAGCGAAATTTCGAAGTGACAATTGAAAAATAAGAGAACTGATGAGCTAGTTCTTTTTTGTTTTTTCTTTTAAAATTATATTGTGCTTTGTGCAGTGCATCCGCAAAATGCTTGAAACTTGAAACATGTAAAATAATAAAAACTAAGTGGCTCAAGGGAAGCCCTAAAGAACAGGAAATCCATAAGTTCTATCAGTATAGTGCCTGGCTGTTCAACCTTTGGAGTCTGAAAGTCACATTTGAATTTTTATGTGTGTGTGTGTGTGTCCAAGTGGGTGCATAGCTCCCAAAGTTTTATATGAAAGATTCCCAAAGGGAGAAAGGAAACAAAAACTTCAAACGGCTTTATAATCCCGTTACTGTGATTTTGGTTATTTGTAAGCTTTGAAGATGGTTCACTCACTTCTACATTGTTGTTGTCGAAAGAAAACATTGATCTAAAAACATTTACTTCACCAGCTAATTAAGATGTTCACAGTGCAAATGACTCAACTTTGCTTGCTATTTTTTGATACCTCAGGAAATATTAGATTTGAGCTCATTAATATTCTGACCTAGATTTACTGGTTCTTCCTTATCAGGAAGAAGGTTTCTGATATTCCATTAATTCTTTCTCCTTTTTTATTTTCTTTTTTTGAGGGGGTGTTTAATTTACTTCCCCTAATCCAAATTATTTGATCATTAGTCTCACTCATCAAACTTTGAAGTGGGAAAAAGGTTTAGATGAGTTGTTATACGGTTAACTAAGTTATTGGAAATACAGAGAGAAGAAGATGGATGTTGATATTCCTGGTATATAACGTTTTACCCGGTCAATCCCATACCATGCTTCAAGAAGTTGAGTTACTCCTCTGGTCCTAAATATAAGACCAGAGGTAAGACCCTTATATGCATTAGTATAAAGGTCTTATATTTAGGACCGGAGGAGTATGAAGACATAGATACTAACAATTATTCTAGATTTAACATTGTTGTAATATACTATCTCGGATCATTAATATAAGAGCTAATTGACTAATTTAAATAGATTAAGGAAGTTTGTTAGGCCAGTTATTTATAATAAATTTTTCATAGAATACTCTTGCTAATCATGTGTATTAACGAGAACTATCATTTAATGAAATATTTAACATATGCAATTATTATAGAGACTACTTTAGAAAAAATAGATAAATATAAAAAGACAACATGGACTGAGATCTTATATTTAGTACAAATTAAATATAAAGCTAGCTTTTAGATTAAGGAACGAAAGTAGTATTATGATTAATTAGTCTTTTAGCATTAACCTTAATGAATGCGGCAAAGAATAATGTTTCTGCTTCTGAATTTGTTTGAAACGTTTCTTTTCTTACAACAACTAAAAAATAATTTAAGATTAATATATATTAATATGTTTTTATGACCAATTAAATAAAGTTTTGACCTATTAATATTTTTTCTATTATATGAGTTAACCAGGTCAAGATATTTGGCAGCATAGCTTATTGTTGGCACATTCACAGCTTTAGTGTTGTCACTAACTTATTATAAGATGTGATCAAGAATGAATGTTTTATTACATATATATTATTATCTGATAATCTATAGAATTAGCTTAATGGTATTTTTTTTTTAAAATTAGAGTACTCTGACATAATATCACTTTGTTCTTTTTGAATAAACATAATATCGCTTTCTATTACTCTCAGTTGCATTAAAAATTGAGTTTCTGCATTGTTTTTTGTGGGGGGGGGGGGTACTAAATTTTGAATTGGATTTTTGGATTGCAAAAAAAAAAAAGCTTAAGTACTTAATTTTATGTATCTGATGTAAATTTTTTAAACTAAATTAACACATGAAATTTGTTATTCAAAATTCATTCTATGAGTAAATATTTATTACCATAGGAATTGAATATCATAATCTTCATGGATTATCACAATGACTTCTAAAAGTCTTCTAGGCCTAACTTCCCTTGAACAAATTGCAGGGCTAATCATAAAACCCATGTACCAACATTAAAAAAAAAAAAAAAACATGTACCCTCACAACTATTTATAATGGCAGGGAATCTTCTGCTAAGCAAGATTAACAAAATCTAAACTTTAGCCTTCTGAGTATACCTAGAGGTCTCCATCTGTAAGTATACATATAATATGGCCAATTTTTTAAATCAATTAACTATTTTAAGCTCAAATGAGGCTCAACTTGGTTGGTCTATGCCCGACAAATCGATACTTCCAACAGATTTGTTGGCATATTCCCCTCTAATATATTTTTTTTTCAGTTGATAAAGACAGACCACAACCCTTATTAGAAGGCCAAACTTGGATTCAAAATGTTTTATTTTAATAATCTCAAAATATTCAAGCGTGCCCTTGGCAAAACAGCTGGGCGATCCCAAGACTTTTGGATATAAGTAATATTACTCCAATTTCAAACATCAAATTAAACATTGGATATATAAATTAATTTAGTCCCTTATACTTGACATTTTGTGTCCGCCGGAAAGAACCATGAATCTACCCATTTTGGATGCATCTTATTTTTCTATGCAGATTTTCTTGTTCTTGTCATAAACCGGTAAAAAATACTCTTTCTGTTCATGATTCTATGTGTGTTTATACCCTTCTAGCGTGCTGGAAAGTCTTGGAAGGAAAACGTGGAAATACATTGAAATCTTCTATGATTTTCCTTGAAATCTCCTCTGTCTTTTTACTGCAAATTTTAAAGGCTCTTGTTTTCTTTTCATTCTCATGGGTCAGATTTTTGCAGTACTGCCTCATGAACTTTATGCCCACATAAATCATAGTTTTATCTCTTTCAAGTTGTTCTTCTGCCAATATCATGGCCACTATGTTTTTGTCAGAACTTAAAATTTTTATTACAATTCATTCCTGCAGGAGAGAGCCATAATATGCATAAATCAATGACATTCCCCCCCCCCCTTCAAAATTAGCTGATCTATACGCATATTGTCTCATGTAATTTTGCTGCCAAGTGCTATAACAATAGTCAAGGAACAGCTAAAACCAGAGTGTTTTCTGATGCAATAATCGTTTGTTTGAAGTGCTTAAACAAGTTTTAATTTGTCACTCTTTCCTTTATAATTGTCTACGACCTCTGGTTTTTCGAAGCAAAACGAAGGACCAAGTAAAACAAAATCCTATATAGGACGGCCCAGAACAACATTATGATCACATTTTCCCACTTCCTAAACGAATCGGTACTTATGTGGAGATTGTTCAAGATATCAAGACCTGTAATATTTGTCCCGTCCAGGTTTGATCCAAACCTATCTGAGTTCCGATACTGGTTGATCAAAAGCCCCTCATAGGGATACGTCATGGTCGAAATTTTGTTCATCCAACGCCAATAAATCGGAATGTCCTTGCTGCTCAAGAAGTAACCACAGAACAAGAAGAACAAAGCAGTGAAAGCGATAACAGCAGCATAACCCAGGATATAGTTTGGAACCACTGAGCTCACAAAAACGACGAACGAGTTGGTGGAGAGAAGGGAAACGAAGAGAACCAACACGAAGTATAGAAAAGGGCCTTGGAGCTTCAAAGCAAACCAGACGATGATGGCATAAACGGAAGCTTGCAGAACAAGAAAAGGGGTGTGAGTAATTATTCCGGCGATGGTGTAGGACGAGGCTCGGTAGGCGTTGTGGGAAGTCTCCCTTATGAAAATAAATCGTTCTTGGATGAACGCCGGCACGGCGTCGTTGGAAGAGAAGAAGAAGAGACAGACGGTGAAGATGAAGAAACTGATGCGGTTGGTGATCCCTTGTACGTTTTCTTTAGGGTTCTTGAACATGGAGGCCATCATGATGCCCATGACCGTGAGCACCATCAATCTGGACAGAAAAAGCTCAGGGGTTCGCCGGATGTTTATGAAGTTCCGCTGCATCAGAATCCACGTCTCCGCCAAGAAGGAGTTCGCAAATTTCGGACCCAGATGCTTTGGAACGCCATCTGGGGGAGTCATGTAGTCATTCTCATTCACAGTGTAGTCGCTGCTATGAGGCGTCGGTGTCGCCGCGAGGATCTCGCTCGAGTACGTGTAATACCCTGGCGAAGCATTACTACTTTCAACAGGGAAAAAAAAATACAACTCAATGAGAGATTCAAATCAAATGTTTATTTAATATATATTAGGAAAAGAAATGACTGCAAATTTACCTTAAACGATTATTCTGCAGTCTGTGTTCATTCTTAAAGCGGGAAGGTGTTAACTTCTGGAACAATCCACTATTGCCGGCATTCCAGGACCGGGGTGTATGAGGGCTTCTGGCACTTCTCACACTGTGGTCAAAATCGTCGACGGCGGAACGATCCGCAAGTCGAGGGTTTCGACCTGGGGTGGACGGTGCGACGGTGGAGAGAGAAAATTCCTGGTCAGACAAAGGAGGGGGTTTCACTCCGGTGCGGGCAAACTCAGCGAGAGCTCCGACACCAACATCACACTGATCATATTCTTGAATCACATCAATGAGATGCTCGATTGGATTCTCTCCCTTGGGGACTTTACGCCCCATGCGACCCAGATGAAGAGAGACGGCTTTGGGAGAGCCCTGAAACATGAGCTGGCCTCTGGCGAGGATGATGAGGTGGTCGAGAAGAAGCTGGATTCTGGAGGAAGGCTGGTGGATGGTGAGGATGACGGTGCTGCCACCGCGGGCGATGTCGTGGACTTTTTCGATGACGCTGTGGGCACTGGTGGAGTCCAAACCCGAAGTGGGTTCGTCCAGAAATAGAAGGGATGGTCCGTGGATGATGTCGACGCCGATCGATACACGACGTCTCTCTCCCCCGGATACTCCTCTTGTTCCTTCGTCTCCGATGTACGTGTTTCGAGTTGACTGCAACGTCAACATACCCTCAGTACCAAGTTTACAGGACACTGTTTACTTGTTAAGTTTGTATACGAAATTTATTTTTATTTGTTATATTCATTTTTTCTGATACAGGTAATTATTACTATTATTATTATGATAGTTATAAATACTGATTACTAATCGAACTACTACTAAAATTAGATCGGTAAATCATCTGGTTAAGACCGTAACAATGGGTCAACTTGAAATCAAACCAATTATTAAATGTATGTGTAAATAGTCTAACAAAATATAGTTATTTATATACTATGGACTACTATTTTTCTAAAACTCAAAATGACGTTGTCGGGGAAAAAATCTATATATATGATCCCGAATAACCTGTCCAAAATTCTTGACCAAATCAACCAGGCGTTAGTTGGCTAGTTTGACTGACCAAGATTGAGTCTTAATAGCTTGCTAGTAGCGGATAAATGAAGGGTTGGGAGGTGGTACTTACTGATAAGCCAAGCTGTTCAATGAGCTTCTCGACTCTGTGCTTCTTTTCAGCGAGAGGAAGAGGGCCGAGTCGAAAATCAGCAGCAAACATGAAAGTTTCATAGACAGTGAGCATTGGGAAGAGCCTATCGTCCTGCATGATATAAGCAGAAGTTCTTTTGATCAAAGTAGGGTTAGTATCTGTGCCATCCAAACACACCCTTCCCCTAAGGCTCCCACTTGCAATCCTTCCAGCAACACCATCCAAGAACGTAGACTTCCCTGCACCACTGGGACCCATCACCGCAGTGACACAACCCTTTGGTGCGTAGCCAGTTATGTTATGAAGCAAGTCCACGTTCTCCTTCACCCAACTGTTATCAACCTTCTTCTTCTTCGTTACTGTGTAGGTCAGACCAGAAAACTCAAGCCCTCCTGTGAAGTTCACGGGCCTCTTAATCTCTATCACAGTTTCTTGATGATCACGTCGAGGAATATTGGGTTGACGCCGAGCCATAATAATTAGAATCTGCTAATGGAAAAAGAGGGTTTTGATTATGAGAGAATGAAAGGAAGGATATGGCTATAATGCCAATATTAATGGCTCCTAAAACTGAGGAAACAAGGGGTGATGGACGATTAAAAGGAAGGAAGAAAGTGAGAAAACGACTTACGGAAGCCGGTGGGGGTTGCCTTTAGCTGATGCTTCCAAGGTTTTTCATGAAAAATCCATCTCAAGGTCGTTTCCATCGAAAATAAGACATTTTGCTTCTTGTTTTCTTCATCGCGTGTTTTGAGTTTGACGATGCTGACCATGCAACCTTCAACAAATTAATACATGTAGATTATATAAAAATATGCGTTCCCTTTGCCATATGTACGTTTTTATTTAATTTTTTATAGCATAACCGGTCACAGGTATATACCCGGAAGATTGCCACCTGACTAGATGTTTGCACATATAATATAAATTTAGATCTTCTTGTCATTTTGACGTTTACGTTGATTTACCTTACAGGCCCTCATCCAGCTTAAAATAAAATATGAATCAGTCAAATTTGGATTAACATTAAATTCCCCGGTATATATTTTTCATGTCACTAAAAATTTAATCCCAAAATCTTGACACTTTGAGATCAACCAGATTAACCTATAAGAGTTCTGTTATGAATCACATATAGAAAAAAGCCTATGGCTGCAGTTATTTCAGGTGGAAAAAATGATAGACTTTATCAGGTCTTGTGTTTTCCAAATCCAACAATTAATCCTTCGGGTGTAGTAGTTCTTTCAAAAACTTGTACTAATTACTACTTGCGGAGGAAGTGGGTGCGTATAAAGAATAAAACTGGTCTCTGATTACTAGCTTCATGTAACATGATCATTGAAATTAGAAGGCAAATGATATATATATATATATATATATATATTGGTTTTGTTGTAATGTTATGAAGAGTTCTGTTAATTGATATATATTGGCCACTAACGATACAAGACAGTAGAGTTATTGAGGAGGCTTAGAAGGAGATGACGACCACGATATAGATGGAATCAGTGAATTAGAGCATCATAAATTTGAAATTTTTAATGATTAGTTGCTCGCATGTAAATTGCAAGCTCATTTTTAATTAGCTTCAAGTCTCCATGCATGAATAAGTAAACAATTAACACGTTCGTCGAAATGGCAGGGTTGCTTTCAATGTTGTTCCTTCCAGCCAAACCAATCATGTAGTTATTATACAAGTCTCTCGTGGGATATTTAATAATCATTTTTTAATTTTATCTTTATTTAATTTTTGTTGTAATTAAAAAAAAAGTGAGAGATAAGAATGATTTGTAAATATAAATAAGAAAAAAACTTTAATGGAGTAAATTTAAAATTTTTTATCAATTTGATGTATTTTTTTTATATGTGAGAATGAGTTATAAGTAATTTATAATGAAGACTGAAATGATACATGACGTGATAAATAGTTCTCAAAAATCAAGAAAAAGAAAATAGAAAAATGACTACTAACGAAGCTAAAAATGCCAAATCCCCCAAAAGACACCTAAACTAGCATAATCCTAGAAAAATGTAAAATCTTAAAATGAAATTTTAAAATCCAAGCAAAAAGACATAAATGCCCCCATTTATAATATCTATTCAAAATTGATAAAATGAATTCAACAATTGTTACAATTAGCTCAAGTTTAGGGGTTAGGCATTTTCTTTCATGGCCATGAGGAATTTAGCATTTTTTTCAGGACATGATATTTTGGAACTTTTCCAAGATTTTCGGTTGAAATCACAACTTAGTATTAATTTTCATTCTAAAATTGATAAAATATATTCAAAATTTGTTATTGCCGTCTAAAATTTAAGAGTTAAGACAAAATTATATTTTCAGGTCATTCATAATTTTTGTGTTACTATTAAGATTTCATGAGCTATTAATAACTTTGGTTTAACAAGTAATAAGGGTAATCGTCAAAAAAAAAAAAGTAATAAGGCAACACTTTTAAGCCATTCATAACTTTTATGTATGTTTGACTACATGAGCTCTTAACAACTTTTAGTCAAAAGGTCTCATTTATTTATTTGAAATTTTGAAAATTTAAAAATTGTGATTGTTAAATTACTCAGAGAAAGTACTTAACAACTAGTTAAATGTATGTTTGCTATTAAAAAAAAACTAGTTAAATGTAGAAATTCTCACCACCAACCATAACAAGAACAACACGGCGAGCCGCCTGACTTGAAGGCACGGGAATGTGCAAGTGGTTCGCACGTCTTTTTCTGTTTGCAAAATCTACTAATTATTGATAGAAAAGAATGTATAAATATATTTTAATTATTAACAGTAATAAATAAATAAATAACAGCTGGCAAAGTCTCCATTATTTATTTATCTAAAAGAAGTTAAATAAACTGATTTAAATTCAATGAGATGTTAGTTGGGGGGGGGGTTTGCGAGTTATAAATTAAGAATGAATTTACCAATGACTGAAATTTATCTTCATAACCAAGTTGCTAAATACTACTTCTGGTCCTAATTATAAGATCTGATTGACTAATTTGAGAAGATTAAAGAAGTAAGTTAAGTTAGTTATTTGTAATAAATAAGTATTGTCATTCTTAAAATATCTTTGCTAATTAAGTGTATTGGCTAGAACTATCATCATTAGAAGGACTATCTTGGAAAAAATACATAAATATGAAAAATAAAATGGATTTGGATCTTATAATTATGACCAAATGAAAAGTCAAAGGAGATCGTATATTAAGGACCGGAGGTAGTACACAACAGCAAAAACGGATATCTCTGTTTCTCAGATGAGTCAAGCAACCAATACTATGGAATTAAGAGAGACTTTACATTGCATTCACAATTTAGATGAATATCCAAGAAGCTTTGCTTCCATAATACTCCGGTCCTAAATATGCTACAAAATGAGTTTTATATTTAGAACTGGAAGGAGTACAAATTATTCAATCAAGAAGAACTCCTCCTTGCATAATAAGATTACAAAGTGACAGAATCCAACGTTTGGACGACAGAGACCTGTGAACCAAGTCTGCATTTTCCAAACCTCGCATATGGAAAACAAGGTTATGCCAAGAAACAACAAAACATTCGAGCTCACCCGCCTGCTTCTACCTAACCTAACATACTGAAGATCATATCAAGCTGCAACTGGTAAAAGGCCACTGTCCCTGAGCAGCGCGTCCGGTGTTGGTTCTCTGCCCCGGAATAGTACAAAGACCTGTATACACATGCTCCAGGTATTAGATAAAAACATCAAGATGCTTTATCAACAAAAGGATAGTCGTATTTGTTGTGATGATTCCTAAATCTTTTTACTAACAAACTTTGAAAGAAAAGACAGAATAATAAAGTGGGGTTCAGATGTACCTCCATCGGTGCCTTGCCGCCGCCAAGAGCAAGAACGGTCTCCCGGAATCTCTTCCCTGTTTCTTTTAGGGCCTATGCAAAATGCATAATGATAGTCACAACTCAGAGGTAAACAAGTAAAAAGGGGAAACATAGCAGAACACCATGGCACGTTTCAATGTTTGACAATGGCTAATGTCTAAAATCACAAACTGTTTACAAAGTATAATGACATGAAAAAGCACCTGGCTTTGCATGGGACGAACAGACAATAAATGTCGATGGGCCAAGCTAATTATCTTCTAATTGCTAAAAAACTAGTTTGTTTTATTTACTAAACTCGCAAAATGGGAGATTTAGAAGATTAAACACATAATCTTATAAGGCAAGAACTCAATCCTTATTGACTGGGTTTTTAATGATACCGTCTTGTTATCCAATCCAGCATCCTCAAATGCAGAGAAAGCGTCTGCAGACAGAACCTCAGCCCACTGTATAACAGACAAATTCATCATTAGATATAATTAAAAGTGGATCACAATTTCAAAGTGCCTTAACCTCAGAAATGTGCTTCAGCATTAAAACAATTCAGAATACCTTGTAACTGTAGTACCCAGCTGCATAGCCACCTAACCATAGCAGAACCCAAAACATTCACATGATGTTAGGTTTCAGGGACAGAGAGTAGAAAACAAGTAACAAAGCATGGTTTCAAAAATATACAAGAAGCAGAGCAAACCTGCAAATATATGGCTAAAACTGCATAGGAACCTATCTTCTGGAAATGGAGGAAGCACTTGAGTTCGCTCAGAAACTCTCCGGTCAACGTCATAGATAGATTCAGATCCCCCGGGAACATATTTTGTATGGAGCTCCAAATCTATACTTGCGTATCTCAACTGCAAGTCATATTTTACAGGTAGTAAATCAGAAGTCATGTCATCTATTTCAAGACATAACTTATGTAGTAAGGACAGTAAAGTCAAAAACGGCAAATAAACTATGCAATCTGGATAAAATATTGAAGCATACAGGTTAAATAGTTTACTGAATAAAGCCCAAGGAAATGTCTTTATGATAAATGCAATCATAATTTCAATTTTATTACCGTTTTTCTTTATAGTATTTGTAATCAATATAATTCTGCCCTTCAAACACATACAATTACAGGAGCAGCAACAGCAACGATGTGCCTTATCTACTAGGTGGGATTAGTTATATGCATTGCACAATGCTACTATGTTCTGTCAAAATCACGTTTTTAGATAAATTGTTGATCAAAAGATCCTGTTCAATAATTTCATTGAGTGTTCTCTTTGATCTTCCTCTACCCCTCTTTATAAAACTCAAAATTATCTACTTCAACCTCCTCACCAACGCCTCTAATGACTTTCTTAGTACATGTCCTGACCACCTTAAACAATTTTTTACCATTTTGTCCTCAATCAATGCTGCGCCAACTCTTCCTTGTATATATTCATCACGAATCTTATCGTTTCTTGTATATCCATATATCAATCTACCCCAACTTTCCATTCTTAATGTCACCTTAAAGCTCAACATTCACTACCATATAATAAGAAGTTAGTTAACTTTTCTCACATACCAAGAAATGAAAATTTAGTCATTAAATGTACCCTAAAGT